CCGTCATCGGCGCTTATTTCCTTTTTTTGTTCTTGCTTTTCTTGCCTCTCTCTCTCTCTCGCCATTTATTATCCCCACCTCCTCCGTTTTCCTTTTAGTGTTTAACGGCACGATCATATGAAGTCTTCCTCCTCCCTCGAAATGCCAACCACACCGACAACGTCGGAAACAGCGTCAAAAGCCAACGCATCACCCTCCCTCTTTCCTCCAGCCGGCTCCTTGTTGACGGGGGCGTCTGTTGTTGCAGCGCCGTCGGCGTGGCTACTCGCCTTTGCCTTATGAGACTTTTTGCCTCGTCTCTTTATCGCCTCGCTGGACACATGCACCCGCGTCGCCTCAATATTTGCAGCCTCGCGTGTGCGGAACTCCTGAGCAAAGTCCTGGAAAACCACAGCAAGCATCGTATTGAAGTGCGGCGACTCTGAGAATGTCAGCAATCGTTTCGCAATAGCCTCTCCAACCGCCATGGCCTCCTCCTTGGTGTTAACAGGCATATCCGCAATGAGCGTCGACGCCTCCTTGCCCGAATCTCCTAGTAGGCTCATCGCCTCCCCCGCACTGCTCGCCTTTTCCTTCATCATAATAAGCGCCGATGCGACGTCCGCCGCAAGTGCCTCTTCCTCTTCCTCCTTCACCTTTGCTGGGGCCTTGACTCGTTTCTTCGCCTTTTGCTCTTCCATGATGGCCTTCTGCTCGAGGATCTCCTTTTCACGTGCCTCCTCCTCCGCCGCTTCCGCCTCCCAGTCATCGGCGGCGTCGTTGTACTCGCCAAAGTCGTCGTAATCCTCGTCCATGGTTTATATTTTTCTCTGGACCCTGTCCCTCACACATGCATACGCGTGCGTGGCGAAAGGGAAGGAACAAGCACCACAACAGGGAGGTGTACATGTTTCCAAGAAGGAAAAGGGGGAGGGAAAGAAAAAAGAAGGAGAAACGGGGCAACTTGTTATCCGGTTGAAACATCGCAGGAAGGAAACATATTAGGAGTAAACCAGAAGCATTACAATAGCAACATTAACAAAAAAAAGTTAAAAGAACACATGAAAGGAAGAAGGGAAACACAAACAAAGAGAAGAATAAATTAATTTAGTGAAAACGTCTCTTCATCGTTCTTCCTTCCTCCATCTGGGACAGAGCAGGGACAGGCTCACAAATACAACACAACACGGTCCTTCGCCCGGTCCACCATTGCGGTGTGCGTTGCTTCCTGGACGGCGGGCTACGGATGAAAAAAAAAAGAAAAAAGAAAAGGGACGTCCACTAGGCGACAAAAGCATCTGCGCGTAGTCGTGTACAAGAGGGGGCTTACATTTTACTTCGTTTGTCGATCTGGATATACGCCTCGCCCGCTTATTTTTCCGGTTTTGTTTATCATTTTAAGCTGATTACCTCTCTTCGCTGTTTTTTTTCGCCATCCTCCTTTCCAACACTTCGGGACCGCCAAGCGCCTTTTTGTGGACAGTACCCCCATATACCCTCGCCCCTGCGACCTCGTTGGAACAACAAGCATGCGCAGGAACCATCCCCAACCCGCATGAAGCAATAGAAGAAGAATACGCAGGAAAAGCTATTGCTCCTCTGCTATTTTCACCCGTTGCCTCTTCATTGGGAAGATGTGGGAGTGTATCTTTTTTTTCTTTTTTTTTTGCCCCGACGGGCCCGCCCTATCAAGCTTTTAATGAACACTGTCCTCCCCTGCTTATAATTAATATTGTTTCTTTTTTGTTTCTTTTTCTCTTGTATTGCTTTTGCCTTCTTTTTGAATTACAGATATATATGTGTTGCTTTTTGTTAGGATTGCTTGCTCAAATTTTTCATATTTGTCTCTTTTGTATCACATGGTGCACCCCCGCCTTTACTTCGAACTTTTCGTCTCCTTTCTTATAGGGATTAGTTTTATCAAGGAATCTCTGCTTAGCCTTAGAAGCCCCAGCGCAGTAGCTTCTCTCGTTGTTACTTTGCTGCAGCCTGAGTGTTACGCCGTTCCGCGCTTCTGCTTGAGAGCCTCGACCATCAACTCACCAAGCTGGGCAGGGGACTCGGAAACAAAGACGCCCGCGGCCCTCAAAGCATCCATCTTCCCCTTTGCCGTACCTTGTCCACCAGACACCACGGCACCTGCGTGACCCATGCGGCGGCCTGGCGGAGCCGTCGCACCGCCGATGAAGGACACCACGGGCTTCTTGATGGGATGGTTCTTGATGAACTCCGCGGCCTCTTCCTCTGCAGTTCCACCGATCTCACCAATCAGAATAATGCCCTCCGTCTTGGGATCCTCAAGGTACAGCTTGACACAGTCAATCATGTTGGTGCCGTTAAACGGGTCGCCACCAATACCAACGCAGAGCGATTGGCCAAGGTTGGCCGCCGTGGTCTGAGCAACCGCCTCATAGGTGAGTGTACCGCTTCGGGACACCACACCAATGCAGCCCTTCTTGTGGATGTGGCCAGGCATGATGCCAATCTTGCACTCTTCCGGGCAGATAATACCAGGGCAGTTGGGTCCAATCAGGCGCGTCTTGTTCTGAGAAAGGAGCATGGACTTTACGCGAAGCATATCCCACTGCGGAATTCCCTCCGTAATGACAACAACAAGGGGAATTTCGGCATCAAGGGCCTCCTCAATGGCGGCCGCGCAGTGATGGGCGGGAATGTAGATAACAGAAGCATCGGCACCTGTCGCCTTGACAGCCTCTGAAACAGTGGCAAAGACGGGCAATCCAAGGGTCTCGGTTCCGGCCTTCTTGGGGTTGACACCACCAACCATTTTGGTGCCATACTCCATGGCCTGCTTGGTGTGGTAGGCGCCATGCTTACCGGTGATACCTTGGCAAATCACCTTTGTGTTCTTGTTAATCCAGCTGCGGATGGCAGTGCGGGCGAACATCTTCCTTCTGTTAAAAATAAAAAGAGCTTTAGAACGGCTAGAGATTCCTTATTTGAATTCAATAGTTTAACAAAACGAATAAAAAATATGAAAAAAAAAAAAATGATTTTTATGCAAAGCAGAGAGCAAAATGAAAATACGGAAAAACGAATTTTAAAAATAAACAAGAATTCAAATAGGAAGTTTATCAAAAGAAAAAAGAATAGTAATAATAATTCAAAGCGCATACAGTCAGAAGAAATGGAACTTTCCAAATTTTCTTCGGTGTATCTTTTTGTTTCCCCCACAAACAATCAAGCCCATTGCTAACAAGCATCCCTTGAATTTCGAACAAAAGCGCAAGTGGAAGTCTAACATGAAATTTATGCGTCAATCTGAAGCCTTATTGCCGCCGTCAGCAGAAGTCAAAGAAGCGGGTGGCTGAGTTACTTGATGAGGAAATTTTGCAGGAAGTTGGACCTGTTTCATTTGAGCCAACTCATAAGCTGGTGGAAGAGGCAGTGGACCGTCTGCAGGCTTTACGCGGTGAACTAAGGAGTTAATCCTTGTAACTCGCTCAAAATTTTTCCGCACAATATCGCAACAGTTCTGAATAAGATCATCTCCACGAAAGGGTATAGATTTTTTCTTCATTCTTGCCTGATCACGATGATTTGCAACAACTTTTGCATAAATTTCAGCCTGGGAAACAAACCACAAACCTTCGCCAGGAGTACTGTCAAATACGGCAGAAGCTGCGTGGGAAAACGTCAATGCTTCAAACACATTGGCTTTAAGCTGAACAAAGGCCAAAATATCCAAAAACTCATTTCTTGAAGAGCTAATACGCTTTTGGGCAATTTCTAAAGCCTCTTGATAAAGCCTCAAAACCTGGTGTGAGAGTCTTGCCACCATTACTTTCCCACCGCTTATTTCATTTTCTACAGCCTTGGTCGCCCCAATTTCCTGTGCCTGCGCCAGAGCTAAAAGCCGAAAAAATTCCAAAAAATCTTCATCGACATCTTCTGGACGTTTCAATTCAGTTATACCAACCAAATATCTTTTAACATCCCGAGCCATTTCTTGAAGAAGATTAAAATACCCAGCAGCCTGTAAGAGAAATCGGTAGGACTCTTTTTCCAACATCGACGCATTCGAAGGGGTCATTTGCCAACAGAGTAAATACTCTGGTATATTCATCAACATTGCCGCTACATTAAAGTACATGCATTGCAAGTCATATCGGAAATCGTCAAAAAACACGCCTCCATTATCCACCAAAGATGATTCCCAACAGTAATAGTATTCGGTTGCGAAAACGGGATATTCGAACAATAGGTTCGCTACTTCACTCGCATATAGGTTCACTGCATCTATGATGTCTTTAACCATCTTCTCTCTCCCTTCGACTGATTTCCAAGAAATATCCTTATACTTGGACCCTTTCTCAAACGCTTTTGAAATCAACTCAAACCTTGAAATGCACGACTTTCCTTTTTCTTCAATATTTTTTTTAACGATAAAGGCATTCCTTTAAAATCAGCATCCGACTTTTCATCGCGGGATTTTGATTTTCTCAAAGGGATTGTAATAAACCTAAACGTCATTGAAAAAACTTCATAAAAAGAATATCAATAACTAAAAACAAGAACAAAAGAAAAAAAACAAGTTCTCATAAAAGTAAAAAAATAAAACTATAGAATTCACTACATATAGATACATAAAAGGGGAAAAAAAGGAAAAGGAAAAAAAGTTAACATATACGGGCATGTATATATCATGATGTGTTATAAAATTCAAGAAAGAACCATCCTTTGTGACCCTCTCAAGATTCAGCACTTTCATTGTGTATAACGAAGTAAATAGTTATAATACAAATACAAGGCGAGAAACTATGTATCTTGGCCCAAAACTACCCAACATTCTGTTAATAACTTTTTCATTTCATTAAGAGATTCATTATCATCTGTATCCTCCACAAAATTCCTCTCCGTCCCATCGTTGCAACCTCCAGATACATCTGTGCCAGTGCTAATAGCATTCTCTTCGTTAATATCAGAAATTTGCTTCTGTAAAGTAGCTATTTTATCCAAGTTTTCGATTAACGCATTTTGAGACAGTAAAAAAGCTGTTTCGCATTCTCTATGAAATCTAACCATGGCACTATTCGCAAGTAACGCAATGCTATAGCGTCTTCCCTGCTCTTCCTCATAAATATCACAACGATCCTCGAGTTCTTTTTGTAAAAATACAGAAATAACATGAAAACATTGAGTTTCCATTAATTTTTTCTCAATACAATCGCGTGATCTGATCATAGAATTCACGACATTTGATAATTTTTCAAATTCTAAACTTAAACGATTTAAACGGTTGAGTAAATTCTTCCACATCTCTTCCATATTCACCAATTTTGAAGTAAAAATATTGGTGGCTTGTTTAAAAACTTCCTTAATAAAATCACGAGATGAATCCGGCTCTGTTTGAACTGCTGAAGATACTAAACAAAACTCTGTCTGCGTACCCAGATTTACGCTTGACGATACATTTTGTACTGCAATACTTTTTGTCAATTGACAGTGCTGAACTGCCCTGGTCACACTACACAACTCGGTTTGGAGCCCTTTATCTACCCGATCAGGACAAACTGATGTATGAACACATAGGCTCAAGGGCCGATCACATTTTGCCTTATCCACCAAACAGCCGGTAGCTATGGAAGCAATAACGTTATCTGCAATTGCCAAAACATTCTCCGTTGCTTTACTTATTTCCATCGTACTAAAATAATAACAATATAGAAAAACTGTTTGTCCTTGTTTCCCTCACCTCAGTTATCTACTAACATCAAAGGCAAAGTAGAAAAAAAACAACAAGGAATAAAAGTATACATTAATATGCACTAAATGTAATAGTAATAAAAATAGATTAATAATAATAAATTGATAATAATATATGCGTATTAATACAAGAAAAATTTGTTTGGATAATAAACAAACTATGAGCAAAAAAAAAAAGGAAACCAATAACAGGGGGGGAAAAAAAAGAAAATATTACATAAAACGGCAAATCAATTTATATTTCTTTTTACTTAATGTATTTTCATTTCCCATTTCGCCCCTTCTTTTTTTTTCTTCTTATTCCAGTGCTTACGATTCTTGCTTCATACCGCTATAGTTATTTCTTCCAAAGTAGCCTTTGGGACGTGCCTCATATCTTGGAGCCAGATTTGGTAGAGGCTGTATTCCCATTTCTTTGTATGGACTACGGTTAAGACACTCTGCAGTCATCTCGTCTACCGTCCAATCCAATGGTTTTTCATTTTCTTTATGGAGCAAGTGATCCTGTTTCTCTATTGCGTCTATACGAGAATGCTCTGTAATTCCGTATTCTGAGAGCGTTTTATCAGGATCCAATTCTTTTCCATCAATATTTAGCGTAAAAGGAGAAGAGCAAAGATAAGGAGACTGATTTTCGATTGCAACAAGCTCAATAAGTTGAGCAATTGTGCTATCCATTGGAGCCATTATTTGAACAATTTGTAGTCGTTGCTCCCAACCAGTTGTGACCCAAGTGAAAAGCTTAAATCGAATTCGTAAAGGAATAAGATATTGCACTTGAGGATCATCTGTCACTGACCTCCAATAATGTCGATCAGTGTCTTGAAGAATAGATTCTAAACTACCTGCATAAAAACGGGTATCTCCTGGAGTTGCCGAACGAATTGGCCCGGGGTATGTTTTAGACTCTTCTAACCTTGTCCTTGCTTCGAAGGCCTCTTGCTCATATTGACTAAGTTTACTTGACCGCAAATACAAAGCTGCTGTCCGTCTCCATCCCAAAGAAGGTGAGATTCTAAACATTATCTATGCCCCGCTATTGTTTTTTTTTATGCGACAAAACTAATACAAAACTAACACAGTATTAATAAAACAAAAAAAACAAATTGGTGAGAAGGCAATCAAAAAAGGGAGTAGCATAAAAACAATAAAAATTCATAAGAATAAATAAATAAAAACAAACATAAGAAAAAAAAGGCATAATTGAATAACAATAACTATCATCAGAATAACACCAGTGATAATTATTATAAAAATAAAAACATCAATAACAACAGTGGTCGTAACGTAATGCCGCCGCGCACGAAAAACCAGAGGAAATAAAACAAAAAAGAAAGCAAAGACAGGGCACACAGAAGACAACAAGAGACCACACATACGGCCCGCCCCCGGCAACGCCACACAGCAACGACCGCGGTGAGGCAGCTCCCCGCCGGGCGGAGCCGCTAACGCGCGCACCGCGCCCGGCCCCGTTTCCGCGGGCGAGGGCGGCGCCCTCACGGGGCCAGGGGCGGGAACGCTGGAGACGGCGGCGCCGCGGCCCGCGGACACTTTTCTCCCTCCTTCTTCTGCCCGCCGCCTGGCTGGTCCGGGGCCGGAAGGGAACCTCAAAGAAAAAAAAAAACTTTTTCTTCACAATGATTCCCCGCGGCCCGCCGCGGACACGCACACTCACGCGCGTATTTGCCCTGGCGCATTGGTGTTGCTTGTTTTTTTTTCTGCTGCGATTGGTGTCTGAATACTGGAATCAGTGATTTTTCTTTTTTTTCTTGCTACGGCTTTAGTGTAGTCTTTCATTTTGGTCTTGGGGCTTCTTTTTTTGGGGGGTTCATACATGGAGTCCGCGGAAACAGTCACCACGTTTTTAAGTGCTGGGTCAGAGCTGGTGGTTTCGGTACCCCACAAAACGAAACGATGCTCGGCGACTCTGAAAGTTCTCTCGGTAACAAGTGGAGTGGAACCTCGAGTGGATGTATTGGGTGCCCCTGCTCTTGTGGATGTATCATATAATTTGTTGCCGGGCATGGTCTTTTCAGTTTTTGCATGGAATAGCGCCTCTATTCGCATTGAAGGACCAAAACAACTTATTCTGAATTGTTATCGGTCTACAATCCCACCGTTCCTAAGACCATTAGTCGAATATCATTGCATTATACACGATGCACGCATCATGGCTGATAGAAATTCCTTGTTTGGACCCGTGGTACTTATTTGTGGAAAAAATGATACGGAGAAACACGCTATTGCGAGAACGCTTTGTAACTATGCGGCCCGAACAGGGTGGTGCCCTCAACTGGTAGATCTTGATTCTGGTATAGGACAAATGCTTGGGGCCCCTGGAACGCTCTGCGCGGGAGTGATTGAGTATCCCATGACGCTTGATGAGGAGACAACGACTGGTCCTGTTTCTGTTTGTTTTTTTACGGGATCATCTGAACCGCAAAGCAGAGGTAGTTCAGGAGAGTGGAATATCTTTGGACCATATAAACACTACACCAAGTTGCTATTGACTTCTGTGAGTGATAGAATTGCTAATCATCTGGGTGGAGTAGTTGGATCTAGCGGCGCTGTCGTTGTACTTCCAGATTTAAGAGGAACCAGTGGCCTTGTATTTACAGAGGATCTTTTGAGGCGTTTTAATGTTTCTCATGTTCTCTGCGTTGGTGATGACTTTCTTTTTACTGGCCTTTACAACAGAATCATGAAAATGCGAAACGTACCCAATACCCATCCTTCTGTGAACACACGGATTGATAGACTTTCTCAATCGTTTCATTACCCTCCGATGGATGCTGGAACAGAACTTTTATCATCCAAGTTGGAGAGCTATTTTTTTGGTGGAGGTGCCATTGACCTACAACCCTCAGAGATTAATAAGTCCTTTTCAAGCATTGAAATACTTGTATTGAAGGATGTTGAAGGCCATGCAGTTGTCGCGGTTGTTGAACAGGACGCGTTGGAGGGAATAGTTGGATGTGTGGGTGCATTGCTTGAGGCGTCCACAAGACGTGATAAAGACGTTCTTTCCCTCGCCCCATTCGCCTTGGCGAGAGTACAGGGCGTTGATGCACATGGTGTGAATCTTCTCGTCAGTACACACTCCGTTCTTTCTGAAAAGTTAATACTGGTTGTGGGCTCATTTCACTGGATAACACGGTAGCGGGGGGCAGCGAATAAAACTATTCCACCCCTTCCATCTTCTCT